AGGATACTCTCCATCCTGGTTGGTTTGTTTTTTTGGGGGGGGGGGGGGGGGGGTTGTTTGTAGTGGGGAAAAAACCACCGAAAATGATAGCCGTCTCCACTGCCTCTCTCGATTTCTGCAACACTGCTTTCTCCCGGCCCTCCTGCCCTTCCTACTACTCCTCGGTCTTTTCGTAAGGGTCATCCTCCACCTCCTGCCCTCTTTTCTAAAAGGGGCATTTTCCAGTGGCAGATCCTAGTCCTCTTCTTCATTCGATTTTTGTGCAGGTGAGCAGCACTAATTTTTCCTTTAGAATCTGACATCTTTCAAGGCTCAGCTCGGGTGCCACCACCTATGAAGTGTTTTTTTTAACCCCTTCCTGGGGGTCACTGCTCACTCTCAAATTATCTTTTATGTATCTGTGAAATGAGGAAACTAGCCAGTGACACCTCATTGCATTCTCCAATCCATCTCTTTACATTTTGTAGCTTCCCAGTAAAAGGTAAGCTCCTTGAGTCCAGGGACTATTTCTCCTTTTGTCTCTGTATAGCCAACACCTTTCATATAGTAGATATTTATTAGTAAATACTTGTTGGATTGGATTGATTTAATCTACTCCTAAAGGAGTAGATTAAGTGTCATCTTTATGCAAATCTCTATGTCCAAACATAATCCCCTGAACTCGAACTATGTGTCATCTGCCTGTTGAACATTTCCTCCTAGATATCCTGTTGGCATATTAAAAACAAAACTGGTTATCTTTCTCCTTAAATCTGTTCTTCCAAACTTTAAGGTTGAGGGAATCATATTTCTACTTAATGAAATTGCAAAATCATGTCAGTTTAACCTCCGTAATATCTCTCATCTATCCCCTTCTCTCCACTCAGGTGTACCACCCTAATCCAAACACTCATCATCTCTCTCCTAAACTGGCATCAGCCTCCTAACTGGTCTTCCTACTATCGGTTGCCAAAATAACCCAATGAAGAGGTTGCCATGTCATCTTCATGCTCAAAAACTTTCAGTGGTTTCCCACTGCCTCTAAGAGAAAGAAAAATTTCTCATCTTAGTTATTTGAGGCTTTTCACAGTCTGAATCCTACCTACCTTTCCATTATTATTTCATGCTGCTTCCCTTTAGGAAGTCTCTATTTCAGCCAAATGGATTCCTAGCAGTTTCTGGAACTCAGTCTTCCCATCTTCCAATTTCACATCTCCACAGTCTCTCTTGCATGAAATGAACTTTCACCTCTCAGAATTCTTATCTTTCTTCAAAGCTTAGTTCAGGCAACACTCTTCTATTGCAAATCCTTCTTGATTCCCCAGTTGCTAAGATATTTATTCATTTGTTTACTTGTCGCACTGTGCTAAAATTTGATAAAAGTGAATTGAATTCCAAGGCAATGCTTTAAGTACAAGTATTGAAGATACTTCTAAGAAATACTTTTTATCTTTTGGACAGGTTAGTCAAATGCTTTGAAAATAATAAAACATTAGATCAGATAGACCTAGCTCATTTGTAATCTGGACATTCTGTTTTTAATAAATAGCCTATTAGACTCAATTCTATTTTCAGCTGAATACAGTCCATATCAGCTTTGCTTTGGGATGTAAAATGTTTTATAGCATCACGATACCAGGTGGATGGTTGGTAACATTGCACCTGAGGGTAGAAGATGATAGTCTTTCTAAGGCTAGCTTGTAAAGTATGTGGTAACTTGTAGAATGAAAATGATGGGCCTAATTTTATCAAATAGTATCAAATGTTATGAACTTGAAGCACTTTTTATCAATTGCTAAGCCTTGACTGATGCCACTTCAGTTTCCTACACTATTCTGTTTATACTTTTGTTGCTTTAGGACCTCAGAAATTTTCACCCAAAAAAGTACCTATTTATTTTTACTAGAGGACATATGTGATAGGCCAGAATAATTGCATAAAAGATTAACTTCAGGCAGAGAATGACCTCTAGTGAAGGATATACTTTTTGTCCTCCTTTCCCTAAGAGTTCGTTGATTTCTGTGGTTCATTCTTCCAACTGAAGCCCTATCAATTTTATATGTCAAGAGCTGCCATCCTTTTTCAGTCCCTGTACCTTTTGGCTTTCAGTAAATCTTTACTATACCCCCCCCCCGCCTTTTTTTGCGCTTTTTGGTAAGACAATTAGGGTTAAATGACTTGCCCAGGGTCATACAGCTAGTAAGTGTCAACTGTCTGAGATCACATTTGAACTCTGGTTCTCCTGACTTCATGGCCAGAGCTCTATCCACTGCGCCACCTAGCTGCCCCTTTTCAATATGAAAAGAAAGAAATTCTAGAGTTTTATCATGTATATGTATGCAAAATAAGATAAATATTCATTTTCATAAAGAAAACTTTGGGACATAAATTTTAGTATCATAAATTTGTCACATTTGTTTTTTTTGTCCACAATTTTTTTTTCATGATTACAACTTTTAGAATATTTTAATAAGATATTATAGTTATTTGCCAAATAAACAAACTTTTTGTATCCCTTGGGTGTACATGTACCCTAGGTTGGGATGTAGATTGTGATATTTTGTTTTAAAACAAAATGAAACAAAATCCTTACCCTCTGGCTCCATTAATCTTTCTTTGCTGGACCCCAGGAAGGTAGAGCTTGGCCCAAGGAGAAGACAAAAAATAGACCTGCTTGACACTTTGTTTAGTGCAGGGAACACAGCTTTTTAAAATACACATTTCATTAACTTTTTAAGTGGATTCTTTGACTAAGAGCTCCTACCCAATTGGGTTTATACCCATTAAGGTTTAATGACAGCAAGAGAAGAGCAATATGAAGAAAAATATCACAGCAGGACTATTTATAGTAACAAAAGCTGGAAACAAAATTATGTATTTTAACAGTTGGGGAATGGCTAAGTAGACTGTGGAATATGCATGTCATGGAGTATTGCTGTACCATGAGACTGAATAGAAAGATTTCAGAGAAACATGGGAATACTTGTATGAAGTGGTACAGAGTAAGGAAAGCAAAGCCAAAGGAAAAATACACAGAATGACTTTATGCATGTTCAGACTGGGGAACTCTTAGTGTGAGGAATTCCACCAAGGCAAAAGTTGACAACTCGGTATATAAGTCCTATGACTTGCCCGAGGCTAAAGAGATTAACTGACTTGTCTAGTGCCATTCAGCTAATCATGGTCAGAGGTGAGATTTGAACTCAGGTCTTCCTGACCCAAACTCATAAATCTGTCCTGCTCTGCCAGCAAAACTAATGTCAAAGACAACCTATGATGTTGGTACCAAATATTGAAGTTGAAACTTCTATCACTTGTTTGTAAGTAAACTATCAAAGTAGAAAGTTGACATGCCCTTGCTTAACTTTCTCTGGGGAATATGCTTTTTAAGGATTTACTTTATTTTTTGTTAGGTAGTAACTTTTGTGTCAAAACAAAATAGAGAAATAAAAATGTTGTTCAAAATACAAGTGAATAAAGAATACATATTGTTCACGTTATGTTAGGACAGGAGTTCTTAATTACAGGGTCTATAAACTTTTAAAAAAAATTTTGGTAACTTCCAATATAATTGTTTTCCTTTGCAATCATTATTTTACGCAATTCTGTTCTTATCATAAGAAGGGGTCTGCATGCTTCACTTGACTGCCAGAAGGGGTCCATGACCCCAAAATGGTTAAGAACCTCTGATCAATATTCATGTTTTGTCAAACAATGCAGATGAACAATGAAATGGGCCTGGTATTAAATAGGAAGGAGAGATCAGGTAAGAATACATCTAGGAGATGATGTAATACTTGAGGATCACAAGGTGCTCCCTTATGCCAAAGCCCATCTTTTGAACACCAGTGGTGATACTATATATGCCTGAAAATCTTGAAACACTAGCTCTCTGAAGACAAAACTGTTGAGCCCAAAATACGCTAGAAAGACGTGTAAGTAGGCTGTATCCTATTACCAATAATGACTTGGGGAAATGAAATGGCATAAGACTTCATTAAATTTGTAAGTTTGACTAGAAAAGGAAATAAGCCAATCATGTAATGATGATAAACACCAATAATGTTACACTGGTAATCATAAAAGATAAAAAGCTAGTATCACAGACCACTTTGACAGTCTAGTGGAGAATCTCAGAATGATATTTTTAAATGCATAAGATAAACCACATAGGATTACAAAGGAAAACAATTACATTAAAATACTATTATCAATTTTTTTTTAAAGTTCATGTTCCCAAGGTTAAGAACCCTGGACCTAGAAGAAGGCCTGTAATAAATGCTGAATAAATCCTTTATGGAAGATTTTATGAAAAGACATATATCAGAGTCGTACAGGATGAGAAGGCATGGATAGGTTGCAGTCTGCGTTGGTGAAGAGTGCCAATGTTGATGAGATTGTGGATCCATTAAAGCAGCACAACTTAACATTGAACTTTCTCGACCTAGAAGTAAATCCTTGAAAAAGCTTAAAAAGAGGGGGGCAGCTAGGTGGCGCAGCGGATAGGGCTCCAGCCTTGGAGTCAGGAGGACCCGAGTTCAAATGTGGCCTCAGACACTTGATACTCACTAGCTGTGTGACCCTGGGCAAGTCACTTAACCCCGATTGCCTCACCAAAAATTTAAAAAAAAAAAAAAAAAAGCTTAAAAAGACCATAACATCATAATTTCCTCCCTCATCTTAAGTCTTTTATTTGATGTGTGACTTAGCCCAAGCAAAATCCATTTGTCTTTTTAACATCCAGAATTGGTAAGGAAATGCTGAGATTTCAAGAGACAGAAGTGGTGATTTTGATGATCATATCTTCCTTGCTGGTTTATAAACAAAATTATGCTGATATAATAGTCTTGAAAGAGTATGTATATACACATATATACACACATATATCAGACAAAAATACTATTAATAAAAATATCTCATTAATTTGTTATAGTTAGCATTTATAGTGTTCAAAGGTTTGTAAAATGCTTTATGTAAGTTATCTCATTTTATCCTTATTTAGCAGAAAGTGCATTGGACTAGGAAGACAAGTCATTTGTTTTCCTTGGACTATTCCACAACTGTAAAATGAGGGAGGTGAGGTAGATTATTTTTAAATTTCTTTCTAATTCCATTCAAGTATTTTTAAAAAGTAGATAGACCAGCATGACAGGCACTATGTTGGATGCTGGGATCATTGTTCTTTGTTCTTCATTTTCAGAGAGGACCAATAACATCACAGGGTAATGTCTTCACTTGTATGTGAATTGAGTTTAAGTGAGGCAAAGTTGCACAAAGTCATCAGCCTGACTCTCTCTTCCAGAGTCATCTAAGTCCAGTGGCGAGACAAAAGTCAAGATGATTGTCGATGGCCCAGGATGCAGTGGTGGCCTCTTCGATGTCTGACCAAGCTCTGAGCGCTCTGCAGTGCCTACTTCAGCTGCCTTCCTGGCCCTTGAAACACATTGTTCTCATCCACCCCTTCCACCAGGGGAAGTCTTCACATGCTTGGGATAGACATCACCCTAACTCAGTGACAGGTTCGTGGCCTTCAGTTACCCTCAACCTGGTTTAGTCTGTCGTCTGAGACAGTTTACCCGGGTGAAGCTGCTGTGCATGCTACAGCCCCTTGGAGCCAATGGTGAGAGTTGAGTGCCAGATGGATAGCAAAGGTGGATAAGTAGCCCTGAAAAGGGTTCCCTCTTAGTCCTCCTTCAACCCATATACCCCTGCTGGGGTCTTAAATACAAAAACAAAGCAGTATCTGCTAAGAAATTATACTCTACTGAGTTCTACCATTCTACAATTTTGTTTTGTTTTTTAGGTTCCCTCAAGTCCCTATGGATAAGCCTTATGCCTTTGCCTTTACTGTACAGTCAGCAAATTCCTGCTCATTCCTGTACCCTAGAGATTGACCCTGGTCATAAAAGCTGGATAGCTTCCCTACACTGTGGTACAAAAAGGGGCAGAGCCAGGTAGGCCAGGACACTGATTTTCAGCAATCTTAAGTATGCAACATTCGAATGGCATCTAACAGACTTGACACTATAACCCTATCTGTGTAGTACGTATATGTATATACACAGATGTGTAGATATATTCATATTTCTATGGATAGCTAACCATAGAAATACATATCCATTAATAACACTATAAAATATATTCTATAGGCATCTAAATAAATTTTAAAGATGTTCTTTTCTCAAATGGTATGCTATGAAATATAGCAAATCATTCACATATCTTAATTCCCTTTGGGTATTAATGGTATAAAATCATTTATTTTCCCAATTTTTAAAGTCACATAATCCAATATAAATCACAGTTTACTCTGTTAATCATAAATGGTAGAATGGTGTGGGGAGAATCACTGGGTTCAAATAACAGCTGTGCTGGTTACTAATGTGACCTTGTTTTGTCACCTATAAGATGTGGATAATAGGTGCACAGAAGTTTTGATAACTAGCCTAGTTAAGTTTGGAGAGATTTAACATCTAGTTAACCACAGGGCAATGACTTATTCATAGGTCATAGAAACTGAGATAGGCACTGCTAAATAAAATACTCAGATAAGGGATTTTGAAATACTGAAGTGAGAAGGAACAGCTGTCTCAGATATATGCTATATTGACAAGAATCCCCTGAAAAGGCAGTAGAGCCAGTTATTCATTAATATAGTATACTTTGCCTTAAAGCTTGCTCAGATGCTTATAGGATTCCCCAATCACTGCAATGTGCAAAAATAACTTCTGCAGTAGCCTACTGGTGCATCTGCCCACCTTGAGTCTCTCCCCACTCCAATCCATTCTCTGTTCGGCCACTAAAGTTATTTTTCCTAAAGCACAGGTCCAATTATGTCATCATCCCCCCCACTCAATAACCTAGCTCTTTTCCAATCTTCTTATATCTTACTTCCCTGCCATGTACTCATTGATCCTGTGACACTAGCTTCCTAGCTATTCCATGAATAAAAACAGCATCTTTCAGCTATGAGTATTTTTTCTGGCTGTTCCTATGATTGGAATGTTCTGCCTCATCTCTACTTACTTATTTCCTCTAAGTACCAACTAAAAGCCCACATTCTACAGGAAGCCTTTTCCCACCCTTCTTAAATATAGAATCTTCCCTCTTTTAATTATTTTCTATTTATTCTGTATATGGCTTGTTTGAACATACTGGTTTGCATGTTGCATTAGATTGTGAGCTCCTTGAGGGCAGGGACTGTCTTTTGCCTTTTTCTATTCCCAGTTTAGCACAGTGCCTGACACATAGTAGGTGCTTAATAAATGTTTATTGACTAAGTATTTTCTCATAAAGCAAAGCAGTCCTTCATCACAGCCAATTTTCTATAAGCATTATTTACTTTTCTACCTTACTGAGACTGTTCATGCCAAAATAGTATTCACTTTTAAAACTATTTTTAAGCGATTAACTATCCATCTTCTCCTTAGAGGAGAGCAGTATGATACAGTGGAAGGAACCCTGCCTGGGGAATCAGGAGACCTGGGTTCTAGGCCTGTTACTAAATAGCTCTGTGACCTAAAGCAAGTCACTTATTTGGGCCTTAATTTTCTCCTCTGAAAATTAGAAATAATATTTTGTCTGAAAGGAATATGGTTGGGCCAAATTATCTCATGATCTTATGACCTTTAATTCTAAAATGTGAGATTATAGGATTATTGTCTAGGACTGTTATTTAAATCTTTTACTTCTTACTTTATATTTTATATGTAACATAAAATATAATAATTATGTAATTTATAAATTATAAAAATATGTGTATTAAAATATATAACATGTTTTATGTATTTAAATCATTTACTTTTTACTTTTACGCGTGTGTGTATTCATATAAAGGTTAATGTAATTCAGTAGAATGAAGTATTTTTGAAAGATTCAGTAAACAATAATTGATTATGGGCTGTGTGGGATAAAGGTAGTATAAGACAAGAAATTATACTGATGGTTCTGAAGCTTCTGCCCTACCAGGATTACTTCTTCTCAGATCACCTTCACTTCTTCTTTTCTCCTCAAAATCCTCTACCCAGGGCCCATTAAGTCTCTTCAGTGTCCTACTTCACAAAAAAAAGAATATAGGCAAATTATAACCAAAGAAAACACATTAACTTACCTTCACCGCTTTATTGTTAGCGAAGTTGATTTGCAGAAAATGTGGAATGATTCTTACTTCTTTCAACAGATCTATGTGTATCCCATAGATACACTGTGGCACTGTGGCAATGCCCAAGAGAGAAACCCTAACATTTGCATTCAAATGCCTAAGAAGAAACTGGTGACTTTTCTGTCCTTTGTGTTTTTTTCTTCTCCTGCCCCGCTTCCAACCTCACCAGTGTATAAGGACCTGCTTTCGTGACTCCAAGCAACACTTTGACAAATTATCCTAATTCTTTAAATGTCATCTAATTTTTCATACAAAACAATTCATTAATGTATTGAAGCATTTTATTTTTCATACAAGGAAACCAGTTCCTAATAAGTTCTAGGCTGCTTGGGTTATAAAGTGAAAAGAAAATCAAGCCAATAGGCAACTTTCTACTATTCTTTAACTCTACATCTCAGGACCACAGACAGAGCCTTAAAATTGTTCATTGAGCCAGAAGACAACCCCTCACAACATGAGTGACTTTATTGTAACATCGAAAGGGTAAGTTCCCTACGTCCCTGTACTTTAAGACCCCGCAGTAAAGATGAATGTGGTCCAGAGAATTTTCAGTTGAAGATGCACATCTGTTCTACAGCCACTACTAATTTTGTAATAACTCTACCAGGGATCACTGGTTAGTAATAACAACACTTTAAGGCTTGCAAAGCACTTTACAAATACCATCTCATTTGATCCTCACAACAACCCAAGAAGGTAGCCATGTCTGAGGTGAATCTGAACTCAAGTCTTCCAAAATCAAGGTCCAGTGTTCTGTCCATAGTACTACCTAGCTGTCTACCATCAAGAGGTCAAGAGGCAGAGGCACCAACAGTTTTGTTCTATCACATAGTTGCCATACATGGCTTACCATTTTTGGCATGCTGAAGTCCAGAATCTCACGGATAATTCTTTTATTCCAAGTACTAGAGCACTTCCCAATCCAGAACTACTAAACAATATGTAGCAATTTGGGACAATAATATATTCAATTACAAATAAAATACCAAACTTGTAGCACTGTTCTTCCTTCCTGCTTGGTGATACTCTCACAAATATGACAAATTCCTACTCAGATCCTATAAAGAAAGTTTCCATTGCTATCAAAGAATTCCCTCCCTTTCTGAAATACTTTGCTGCTAAACTCCTTAACATCCATCTCTGGTTCCTTTACCACTTCTTCCTCCTTACTTAGCAGCCCATCAGTGTGAGACCCTTCTGGTCGTTTTTGTTTCCAGAGTGAAGATGACATGCTTTGCTTTTCTCTATGATCACCCAAGGCTGCAACTAGAGTGGTATGCCTCTCCCTCCCCAATTTCTGAGACACTTTTCCCCTAAACTTCTGGCTTCTTGGAGTTTTCCAAGCCTGAGGATTCTTCTCTTTTTCCTGTAAAGCTGAACTGTAATTTTGGCCCTTATGACAGAGGTGTGGCAGGGCCTCACATCTTGATATTGACATTGATCCTGAGACTAGATGACCTGTAGAGGTTGGCAGTAGTGGCTGCTCTTGTAAAGCCAGTTGGGTCTGTGGATGGTGGGTATTCCTAGCTTTACTGAGGATCTTCTGATCTTGCTTTATTTCCTGCTTCAGTGTGGGAACAAACTTACTCTTTAAAACCCTTCTGATCACATCAGTGCTGACTCCAAAGCCTTCAGCTAATCTGGGAACTGACCAGTCCTCAGAGAATTCCTTGTGTAAATACCTAGAGAGAATGGATCAAATTCTAAGCTGTGATGCAGACTGGTGTCAGCAAAATTCATGGTCAAGAAAGAATTAATAAGGCTTCTGAAAGCACAAAACAAGATCTTTATATCTAATCCCAACCAAATAGGCTCAGTGAAGAGGGAGAAATGGCTTCCTCTATCCTTCTATGACTATGGTACCACCTAAACAACCTCAGGACATACAGATCCCAATTTTAAGCCTTCCTCCATCAAGCTCTCACAACACTGGAAGAGTAACTATATGCCCTAAGCCCTAAAAGGCTTCAGCTCCATGGTCTCCCAGAACCATGCCCTATTCCCACATGGCCTTAGGTTTCTCATCAGGATTCTGACCCTGAGGACATCAGAGTCTACAAAAGACAATACAATTGTCCTTACCGGATTTGCTCCATGGCGTTCCTACTCAGGATCCTTTGTGGGGCACCTGAGGCTTCCATCTGTCTGCAGATTTTCTGGAATCGAATTTCTTTTTTCTGTTGTTGCAGAGCTCTAGAAGAGAAGAACAGATGGTAAAAGACAGATTAAAGCAACATGTCCTCAAAACAGTGCGCTGCCTCTGTAAACACCCAGTCCATCTCCCTTCATGCCTCAGGCTTGTTCACCTGACTCATTCAGGTCATTGCACAGCTGTCCAGACATGCTAAGAAAACCTCTTCCTTTGCTGAACTTGTTCCTTATACCTCTTTACCTATTTCTGCCTACAGAATTTCTACCTATTCATCAAAACCCAACTCAAATGCCATTTTTCCCATGGAATTTTTTCCTCAGGTTTCTCTTTCAGAAATATCTCTCTTATTTGAACTCCAGCATCATCCTTGATGATTCTTTTGTGCACTTCACATATTCTATTGTATGACAGTGACTTATGTTTCTTTGCCATCTTTACTAAGCATATTCATTCAGCAAACCTTTAAATGCATGCACAATATTGTGCTCGATACTAAGAAGATAAAAAGTTCAGGTAAGACACAGTTATCTGGCCTCCAAGAGCTCAGAGCATAGTAGGGGATCATATTTAGCACTGGAATGGACCTTAGAGGCATCTAGCTCAACCTTATGTTACAGATGAAGGTGCTCACGCTGAGATAATTTTTAAGGGATTTGCTTATAGTCACACAGGTAATAACAGTCACACAGCCAAGATTTAAACATGGTCCCTCTAATTCTAAATCCAGAACTCTTTCCATTTTGCTAATGCATTAAAGAACTGTAAAATAAAGTGCTATATGAGGCACAGTTTGTTACCTGTGACAGGAAGGAGAAAGACTTGATGTAGGAAGTGACATTTGAACTGGGATTTATAGGACAATTCAAGGAACATATCTGTACAGCTGAAAGAGGCCTCTAGTCCAACCACTTACAGCTGGGGAAACTGAGAGCGACTTGCCCAAGATTACATATTGTAATATTTGAACCAAAATCCTTTGATTACAAGTCAAACCTTCTTTCCATGGGATAGAAAGTCAACAGGTGAAGAGGAGAGACATTTTAGGGAAAGAGAACAATGTAAGCAAAGAAAGAGGTAGGAAAGCATAAGTCTGGCGGGGAGATGGATAGTTGCTCAGGTTGGCTGGACAGTAGGCATGCCAGCCACCAAGTGGTACATTGTAAGATAAGCCTGGAAGGAGAGGTGGCACCAGACTGTAGAGGGCCTTGAATTCAAAGCAAAGAGTCTGAACTTTATTCAGAAGATACTCACAAGTCATTTTAGATTTTTCAACAGGACAGTGACATGACTTCATCTATAAATAAGATTATCTTGACAGTGATAGAAGATGAATTGGAGAATTGATACTAGAAGATTTTTTAAAAAGCTATTGCTCTTATACCAAAATGTTCCTAAAAGCACTTATTATAAGAGTAAAAAGCTGGAAACAAAGCCAGTCATTTGGGGCTCAGGGTAATGAAGCTGGATCAAAAAGCAGAATTTCAAAGTTTTACATTTTGAAGGTGGTATAATTCCAAAAGGTGGTAAAGTCTAAGGTGCCACCATGCTAGTGTGCATTGAAAGTGAAATTGCAATAAACTATATTAAGTAGAGGAGTCATCAACATGAATATAAGTCCTCAATGAGGATTGCAGAAAATGGTGGTGAAGGTTCACAGCATCAAGGATAAACAGAAGGAGAAATAAAGAGCCAAGGAGACTAATATTTGAAGACTTAGAAGCAGCTATGAGACAAGGGTGAATGTCCTCCACTGGAGAATTGTAGTACATGAATGGATTCTATTACATCCACTATGCCATGAGAAAATAAACAAGGAATTCAGAATAACATAGGAATATTTGTATGAACTGATGCAAAGTAAAGAAAGCAGGAACGGAAGAATAATGACTGAAATATGTAAATGAAAACAACACTAAAAAATTCAGATTCACATGTGATCCCCTACTACGCAGTTTGTTACCTGTGACAGGATGGAGAAAGGCTTAATGTAGGAAGTGACATTTCAATTGGGATTTATAGGACAATGTGAATTCAGATTAAATAAACTGATTTTGTTCTCAGTACTTTTTCTCTCAGTAGAAAGGTGGGAGGCTACTGGTATGGACTGTTTCGTGAACCATCATAGGCAGTTCTATCAGTTTGTTTTGCTAAGATCTTTTTCTTTGTTAATTGAGAGGGTTCTTTGAATGAGGAGGCATACTGACTGTGGTGTAGAAAACCCGAGGTATCAAAATAAACATTTTAAAATAGGTTTCTGTAATAGTCCAAGAAGGTAGTAAAGACAGCCTCTCCTACAGAGGCAGCATGGAGAATAAAGGAACAAAGGGATCCAAGAGACGTTCATGAGATGGAAATGACAGGAGTTGGTAACTGACTTGGTATGAGACATGAGACAAAAGGAATTCCAAGGATTTTAACTGAGTTCATGATGGTGCCACAAACAAAAACAAGTCAGAAGGAGATAAAAGTTTAAGTGAGAAAAAACAAATTCAGTTTTAGAAATGCTCAGTTTGTAATACTCATGTGAAATCAACATGGTTGCCCTATAGGTAGGTAGGGATGTGGAGTTTATAGCTCAGAGTACTAGCTAGAATTAGATATAATAATATAAGTCAACTTTGTACAGGTACTAATTGAAACCATGACAGTGTATAAGATTGCCCAAGGAGAAAATGTAGAGAGAAAAGGTAAGAGAACCAAGGATAGTTGTTGGGGGGGGTACTTCCACATTAAAGGTTTTAGAGGAGCCAAGAAAATTGAAAAAGGAGAGGCAGGAGTAAAACCAGGAAAGTAGAGTACCAAGTATGCCAACACTATCAAATGCTGTAGATAGGTCAAGGATAGTAAGGACTGGAAAAAAAATACACTGGATTTTGTGATTCAAAGAATCATTGTTAACCTTTGAGGAGTTTTAATAGATTGTTGTAGGAGCTGAAGTGAGATTATAAGGATTTGCAGAAAGTGAATAGTGAAGAAGTAGAAATAGACAACTTTTTCCAGAAACTTATCAGTGAAAAGGAGAAAAATGGGATTACTAGTAGATAGGATAGGAAGATCAAAGGAAAGCAACAATTTTTCTTTGAAGGATTCAAGAATGTTTAATTACTGAACATATAAGATGTAGCTATTGTAAGTAGATGGGAAAGAGCCAGTAGAAAAGGCAAAAATGAAGGTGATACAAAAGGGAATGACTGCTGGCACAAAGTTCTAGGAAAAGTACAGGAAGAAAGAGAATCAAGGAAGGTGATGGAGGAATCAAGTCTTAATGAGGAGCAGAGACAACAATTACTCTGTGGCCAGAAGGAAGGACAGAGTGGTGATGCTGACAAGTTATGAGGAATGAAGGCAGGCACCTGACAGAGCCAACACCAGATGACTTCAATTTTTTTCAACGAAGTAGAAAACTGTCACTCATGTTAAGTATGGGAGGTGGGAGTACAATTTAGGGGGAAAAAAAAGTTTGAAAAAGTCAATGACAATGAGACAGGGAAGCTGAGAGAAGAGCGTAATTGTTGAACAGCAGCTATGGTTAAGTACCACAAATCCGTGGTGACTAAAATCAGTTTAATTTTGTAATTAGCTTGGAAACACTAATGAGGAATTGAAGGTTGGTACTAGCTTAAAGTCAGGGAGACAAAGGCTTCTAGGATGCTAACATAAAATGTTAAAGTGTTAGGCAATGGGTTGAAGGCTCCCTAGAGCCGTAAAATGAAGCCAAAGTAGATGAGATGAACTGAGAGAATAGGGGGGGTCACCCAAAAGCAAAGAATAGATTTAGTAAGAAAAGAGGCGTGACTCAGGGTAATGAAGGTGGATCAAAAAGCAGAATTTCAAAGTTCTACATTTTGAGGGTGATATAATTCCAAAAGGTGGTAAAGTCTAAGGTGCCACCATACTTGTGTGCAATGAAAGTGAAATTGCAATAAACTATATTGAGGAGACATCAACATGAATATTATGAATATTGAAGTCCTCAATGAGTATTGCAGAAAATGGTGGTGAAGGTTCACAGCATCAAAGATAAACAGAAGTAGAAATAAAGAGCCAAGTAGACTAATATTTGAAGACTAAGAAGCAGCAATGAGAGACAAGAAGCGGGGTAAACGTCCTCCCCTGGAGAAAGGTGAAAGACATGCAACTCCTCCCTCGGGAGAGAACAAGATTTCAGCGCATGGGAGGAGGCTGACAAGTTGGAGGCCACAGACGAGCAGATTCTGAGCCCCTCGAAAGCTGAAGGCCCGCGTCACTCGGTCTTCATCTTTCCCCAGGGCCAAGTCCTCGCACACCGTGGCCGTTACTACAGTCCGTCCGTCCATCGGTCGGTCGGTCGGCCTGCGCGTCCTCGCCTGCTCCTCCTCCCTCTGCTACCCTGCCTCCCGCTACCAGGCGGCTCCGAACACAGCGCTCGTCACAAGGAAGGAGGCCGTGGCTGGCTCGCAGCCCCAGAGACGCCAGAGCCGGCCGCGGGACCACCGGGCTTCTCGGCAGGAGGGGACCCAGACGGGGAATGGCCACAGCCGCGACCTTGGTACCTCTCCAACTCTTGCAGTCCCCGCTCCGGCTCCCAGTCCGAATCCAGGTCATGCTCATCCCCTAGGCCAGGTCCCGGCGTCGGGCCGGTCCCGGGTGGTCCCGCCACACCGCGCACCCCGAGTCGAGACAGCAGGGCGGCGGCGCGGAGCCGCGAGGCCGCCAAGAAACTAGAAGCAGCGGCCATGACGCCGCCACGGTCAGGCCCGACGGAGGAGTAGAAGGAATCGGACCTGCGTCACTCACGGCGCTCAGACAGGACAGGAAGCGGAAGGGGCCGGCTCGATACCGAGCCCACCGGAAGGCCGCCTTGTACGCCACTGGTACCGCGGGAGGGGGTCCGGAACGTCCAGGACCACCGCGACAGAGGGAGGGGGGTCGAGTGGCACAACGCTAGTGTGTCCGGGACGTCGAGGAGAGAAGCTGGGGCTCCGTCGTGTGGTTCACAGCCCAGTTTCGAGTGTCAGGTGAGGGGGCTAGAACTCAGAGGCTAGGGTCCTCTAGTCCAACCCCTGAAACGCGAGACGCCGGGGCGAATCAGAGGCGGGAAGGCAAACTCTATAAAACTTTAATAAAAAGACTGATACAATTGCAAAGAACTCAGTCTCGGTTCCAGCTGCGGCTGCCCCCGAGTGGCCCCATCGGCTAAGGGCGGCCGAGAGGAGGCGGCGCGCCCCTCCCCCGGCGCGCGCGCACGCCAGGCCTTACGTCACACCGCACCACGCCGACGTCCTCCTAAGCGCAGGCAGCCCCACGCCGGTCCCTGGGCTCCGGGCTCGGCTCTGCGTTGCTACGCGCTGGGCTCGGGTCCGAGGTCGGACCTAGGGAGCAGTCTCCTGCTCTCTTTTCGGCCCAGATGGTACTTCCGCTCTCTGATTTCCAGGGACCAGTAGGTTCATTCTTCCGGCCCTGGGCTCAGGTCCATCACCTGGGGGACAGAGGGGACCTGAGCCTGGATGCTCTAGTACTGCCCAGGCCGTTTTTCTTCGGCCTGCTACGCCCACTGCCCTCCCCGGAACCCGGGGGTTAGGGGCATGCTCGATTCCTCATGACCTCGTCCTTTTTTCCCTCTGCGCTGTTATTAAATGACAGCCTAAGTAACCCGCCAACCCCCTCGAGGTGGGCGAGCTCCTCTTACCTGTGGTGGCTGATGTTGAGGAGACCCAGTGCATTGGAGTGCTGGAGAAGAGGTGCTGAGGCAGGACACAGGGTCAGTTCGCGGGTCGTGGCTCTGTGCCTGGATTCCGTCATAGAGGGCAAGCTGCAGCCAGCCCACGAGTCACTTGCCTCTCTCTCAGGGTGCAGAAGGTAGCCCTGCCTTGGGGTTAGGGTGGGTGGCACTGATCCAGCAAATGCCCGGTTCATGGCTTCTAGCCTTCGGTTTGTTTGGCCCTCTAAAATAAAAACACGGGGCCCTGAGGATCTGTTAGACCACTGCTCAGAGCCCAAGTCACTTTGTCTGATCATTCTTTCCCCAGGCTTGAACCACTTTATCAGAATTGGGAATGTGGTACCCAAGTAGCATTTAGAAAGAAATCCTCCCATTTACAGCACCCATATGTTCTGTTATCCATCATCCAAACTCTCCTGGAGTTAGTCCATGTTTCCCAAATAATTTTGCTCTTTCCTTGTGAGGAGAAGACTCCTTCTTCACCCCAAGGTATAATTCACATTCCTGTAGAATCAAATAGGCCTTTTCATTTCACTTTTAAAAGCAGCAGGCTACTTTGGTTTTTAAGAAATTTTTCCTCAGGAGCCCTTACCACTGTTTAGTGCTTATTTACTTATAAACCAAATTCCCTAGTGCCTAAGGACTTCCCATTCCTACAATCTTGTAAATGTTCTATGGCATGTTCTTGGGAGTTTTAGCTGGGGTATGTGCCAGAAAGAATTTATCCCAGAGTGCTTAATAGAACAAGATGGGAGAGGCTAAATTAGTTTAGAAAAGATGATTATAACCCTGCAAGGGTGGGAAAATCAGAGTGTCTTAGATAAGTGGGTGGCCAAATCAGGCATTTGGAAAGAGCTGCAAAGAGCCCTTCATTGAAAATTTCTCAGGTGAGATATTTCGGTACTTACGGCTATGGTGCTTGCCTCGAGCACTGGAAAAATAACGTCTGCCTGACTTCTTCATTGTAAGTGAGCAGGAGCCACTTCCTGTAGAAGAGGTACCTAACCAGTTGAGGTTCTTGGGCTGCAGCTGGCACTGGGAGGGATGGGGGATGGTTGCTCTCATGTTTGACAGTGGACCCAGGATGTTGGGAATGAATGTGTGAGTCCGGACTGGTTGTATGAAGTTAGGGCCCAGTTCTGGGACGGACCCTTCTCTTAGAAGGGACAAAGGGATGAGATTCACAGACCGCACGTCTCGGTTGCCAAGTCCGTCCTGGTGGAATCTAGCCTAGAAGAAGAGCAATGCCTTACTATCTTTGTTGGGAGGAGGGACATTTGGGGAGAAATGGGTGGCCAAAACTGTTCCTTCTAGAAGAACCACTATCCAACCAACTTTTCCTTTTGATTTTGACAAACGTAGCCTATACTGGCAGGTTCAACAAAGTTGTTGTTTTTTGCTTTTTACCCACCCACCTCTCTTTAGATCAGGTCCCTAATAGAATCAAGATAAGGCATTTGTGTGCCCTAGGCAAGGATTGAAAATTATACTTTGCTGCATTTGAAAATTGTGTTCTTCAGAAGATTTGAGGTTGTACTGTAAATCAAAGATGGTCAAACTTGCAGCTCCCTAGTGTGGCCATAACCAGATTAAAATGTAATTGGGAAATGTTTAACAAAATAAATAAAAATATAGTACAACACAGGTGATGTTAATTTGTGGTTTTCTAAGTTGCTGTGCAGCCACTGGGATCCGTTTCTATTTGAATTTGACACTAATGCTGTAAAATCATTCAACTTGACTAATCACAAAATATCAACATGCCATGAAGAGCATACTTCTCTGCCACTTCTCTGCCATATATGTATTTATTTAAAAACAATGTTAAACATATCCTTTTTTGCACTTCCTTACCCCTAGCCCAAAGACATGTTGCATTTTAGGTGGTTGCCTACTTTGTTGAGTAATACTAATTCTGAGCCTGGCAATTCTGGAAAAAAAGCCATTCAGAAGCCAACAGGAGACTTAAGTGTCTAAGGTTTTGGCTTTGATTTCAGTGTGGCAGGAATATTTGGAGCAACACCCCATACCTCTCCAAACATAAAAGAGAGTATATTATCCTGACTAGCTCGCTCATGAGCCACGGACAGTACACACTAGTCGCTGCTCCCTGACTGTATCCAAGTGTCAAAGAGCTTAGGATTCTGGGACCAGACGCAGTCTAGGAGTCCAAACCCTCCCCCGACTCAGACCCCAGCCTGTGTCGCGTCACCAGCTTTCACGGTTGGATTTATGTAACAACTGTGTCAGGCATCGTTCTGAACTAGCCAACTAGCATTATCCCCTAACACATTTTACAGCTCCTTTTTCCCATGTTATATAATATAGACACTGAAAGGGCTCTCACCTGACTTGCAGGGAATTTGTTCTGGGATCGTGGAGGAGGGTGCAGCATGCGGGTGAGCTGATCTACAATACCCAGACTTCGAATAAGATTCTCCCTTTGGAGAAGGGACTTCATCCGCTCCAGCTCTTCCTCCTCCACAATTTCTTGAGGCTGCATGGTGTCCACGTGTACTGCTGGAAGCTATAGAAAACACAAGTGATAAATGGAAGGTCCCAAACTGTCAGCAAAAGATGTTACTATTAATGGGTCCTGCATAGTGCATGGTTATGTCCCTGTACTTCTCACCACAACAGTACTCATCATTCTTCCTGCCCCCCACCCCCAATCTTACATCATCCCCCCTTGTTCCTTGGCTGACCACTCATCTACTTTCTGTACTAATGGACATTTATGTAAGGTTTATCCTTTCAGATTTAAATATCCATCCTCTTTCATTGCTTTCCTATACCTGAACAAAATCTTTCTAGAAGGTCAGGCTTAATTTACTGATTAAATTAGAAGTTTAAAAATTATTTTATATAGGACAGCATATATTCCCTCTAGAATATCCCACAATTTTCCTGTGTTCCTGATTTCACTACTGAAAAGGGAGCCTGGTGTAGTGGAAAGAGCAGGCCAAGATAGGTCCTGAGACCTGGGTTCTTGTCCGTCTCTGCTACTTATTTGTTGTAATATTCTGAGCAAATCATTTTACCTTCCTAAGCCTCAGTTTCCTCATCTGTAAAATGAGGAATTTTGACTATATGACCTCTCAAGCCCCTTCCAGATCTCAGAATAAATGATTCTGTGATTTAGTTTAAGCCAATGACACCTGCTTTTCTTGGTTCCTGGACCTTATGTAGTTCAAACGAGCAGGCAGGCTCTTGGGCCCTACCCTGGACCTGTTCTTCTCTCCTGCTGATTCGCCCTGGTTGACATCCTTATTTTCTTTCCTTTTCTTGTTGCCTGTGGCCTCAAGCTGTTCCTGCTTCAGGCGGATCTCCTCCAGTTGCTGCCTGGCAAGACAAAGCAGGCTCAGGTACAGGAGGTGGAGGAATATGTGAATAGAGATTCTAAACTGGGATTCCCAAAATTGATAAAAGAAAAAAAAAACCAGTGGGAACCTTGATAACACAACCTATATTTTAATGAGGAATTAGAACTTGAAAGAAGGAACAACTCTATTCTCCCCCCTTTCCTTAAGCGTCTGGCTTCCTCACATAACCAGTGGATAGAGGTTAAGTCCTAAAAGCTGAATGTTCTTCCTTCATACTAATGTGATTATAGGAAGCGTGATCAAGTCATTAGTCAAGTCAACAAGCATTTAATAAGTACTTACTATTCCAAATATTGTGCTAAGCTCTGAGGATACAAAGAAAGGCAAAAAAAAGTCCTGCTCTCAAGGAGCTCACATCCTAATAGGGGATACAACACATAAATTACTATGATCTACATACTTGGAAAACGGGAGGTGATCTCAGAGGGAAAGCTCTAGGCATTGGGGTGGAGGAGGGAATTACAAAAGGATCCCTCTTGAGGAAAGCTTGTTTTGAGTTGAATATTGAGGGAAGCCGGGGGTTAGGGACAAGAAGAAAAACATCCTAGCCATGAGGGACAGCCAGTAAAAAAGGCATTGAGTCAGAAGATGGAGTGTTGTGTATAAGCAACAGCAAGAACTCATGGAGGGGAGTAAACTCTAAGAAGCCTGGAAAGGGAGAAAGAAGTCAGGTTTGTGGTTGGTTTTAACAACCAAACAGAGGGCTTTACATTTGATTCTGATGTTAATAGGGAGTCACTGAAGTTTATTCAATAGAAGGACACTGAGACCTGTGCTTTAAGAAGGACACTTTGGCAGCTAAGTGGAGGATAGTTCAGGGTAAGGTGATAAGGGCCTGCCTACACTCTGCTATGTCAGAGAAGAGGACATACGTAAATATGGCACATATTGCAAAAGTAGAAACAATAAGACTTGGCAATAGGATTGTATATATAAGTGAGAATGATAAGTTGAAGTGACACTAAGGTTACAAGCCTGGGGACAGGGAAGTATTAGAAGAGAGAATTTTGGGGAAAGGATGATAAGTTCTGTTTTGGACATGTTGAGTTTGACATGCCTATAAGATATCCAGTTTGAGAAGTCCAAAAAGGCAGTTGGAAATGCAAAACTGGAGATTAGGAGAGAGATTAGGGTTGGGTAAGAGATTAAAGAATCATTTGCAAAGGGATCATAATTAAACTGATGGGAGCTAATGAGATCACCAAACAAAAGAATATATGTTGTTCAGTCATTTGTGTTGTGTCCAATTCTAAGTGACCCCATTGTCACATAGCTAGTAATTAAGTATCTGAGGCCATATTTGAACTCAGGAAGATGAGTCTTCCTGAGTCTAGGCCCAGAACTCTACCTACAGTACCACCTACCTGCCCGGTGAATCAATAATGGAAGTGTGAAAGGATTACCTTGCTGCAGAGTGAGAGCCCAGTTGAGAATATGTAACACAAATTGGTAGTCATCAGTTTCTTGATTTTCTACAGCTCTACTTGGCAGCACACAAACAAAAGCAAAGGCAGTGGATGATGGACCTAATTCCAAGTTGGAGCTTGGCAAAGCTTGATTAGTGTGACAGGATAAGGGGAACAAGGGACTTAGGAGGAGTGTGTAGCCAGTGGCCTGGGAAAGAACTGAGGGGTGGAAGGATTAGACGTCTTACTGAGGACAAAGAATAGGGTTTGGGGTTGTGAGACTGAAGTAAAGATAGACTGATAAATGATGATGTTTAGATAAAGCTACTTCAGAGTTCCTGAACATAGAAGTGAACACTTGTGGGTGATGGCAGGTTCAAAGGTAGGACTGTCTCAGTGTATAGCTGGAGTAGAGGAGCAGGTCATGGGAAATGAGGGTGTTTGAGGTATATCAATATATATAAATCCCCTAGGAGGAGGGCAGGAGTTTTGAGGTGAGAGAAAGATGGTAGAGCGAGGCACCAAACTCACTGAAGAAAGGAGGGGAACTTCTTAGGGCATTGGTAGGTAACAGCTACCAGAATCTTTATTGAATGATAAATTATGGATTGAATGAACCTCAAAAGTAGGAGAAGCTGTTGAATGACTGTGATAGAGGAAGACTGGAAGTAGCAATGAGGAGAGCAGACAGTATTCCTATTCTTCCAGCAAGACCAGATTGGGGTCAGGGGCTGGAGGAAGGGAAGAGTGTGAGTGAAAGTACAACTGGTGTTGCAAATGGTGACCAAGGAGGATGTGTCATCATGAGGGAATGAGGTCTCAGATGATGGAAGGAGAAAAAAAGGAAAAAAAGTTTAAGATGAAGGCAGGTTTGTTAAATTGGGCAATGTACCTGGCACATTCTTCCCTTGCTTTAGAGGCAGCAGTCTCCTGGAAAAGGGAGCCATTGTGCATGAAGAAAGGTGCATACTTCTCAGTGTCTGGCCCAGGGTAGATACGCCGGTAACCGCCTAGGTGGGAGTTCTCATACCTCTCCTGGTCCAGCATTGCTGCATTTGATGACTCCATCTGTTCTCGCCTGTGGGAATCATGCTTAGTTTAGGGAAAGTGTGCGTGTGCGTGTGCATGAGTGTTTAATTCAGGGTGTAAGCCTGAAAAGCATGTCTCCCTACCTTCCTACCTGCCAGTTTGAAACCTTAGTCCAGAACCACCTCAAGGATAACTTAAGTCAACCAAATCCAATGTACCTCCTAACAGAAAACCCTTCTGTGGTCCAACCCTAGTTGTAAGATTATAAATTCATCCATAGCTTGGTGTTGCTGAACTTACTAATTGTGGCAATGACAATCTACTAAGTGGTCAACAGGTTATTTCTTTTGTTTTGTCTTGTCTTTTGTTTTTCCAATACAAGGGAGCATACTAGAGGAAACATACTCTGCTACTTTTATGTTTCAGGACAGCAGCATCATTCATGGCTTCATTTTCTATGTTACCAGTCTTTATCATCAGAAATTAAGTGTTGTGCCAACCTGTACAAAAGATGTAAACCAGACCTAGTCCCTGCCTGCTAGGAGCTTTCACTCCTGGAAAGAACACAATGGGGTAGGCAAATGCATGATTTAACAGACATAAGTAACTGTATACATAAAACATTAGAATACCGGGGTTCTCGTGGTTGCTGATGACACTGGAAAAGTCTCTCCTTAACTCTCCGCTTATCCTCTTCTAGCACCTTCTTCTTGTCACAGCCTCGTAGGTTGATAAGGTTCATGGCATCACCAAGAAGTGCATCTTTCACTTCCCGGTCAAGGCATGAGTCTGTGGTGAAGCTCGGAGAGTGATTGACCTATCAGGAAGAGTCATTATCCATCCCCTGCCTGAGTCCCCCCAGAATGCTTGGGATCATTTGTAGCTGACAAGCTAGGGACAACAGAAAGGTCATTACAGAAGTATCCCTTTCAGTGGCTAAAGATGAACAGACTAGGCATGTGGTTTTAATCAGCAACAACCAGTTTGTGACAAAGGTCCCCATAAATTTCACAAATTAGTAAGGGCAAAGCAAAGAAATTGTGACTACTAAAATAAGGCTCATATTATAAACCAGTCAGGATCCCAAATTTGGCTTCACATGTGGGCAAGAGGAGCATTTGCATGGGGTTAGGGTCAAATAAGTTTTGACTCCACACACAGACATAAGCTGCTCCTTTCTACCAACAATAGCTTGTCAATATAAATAGACAGATAGATAGACGACAGACAGGTGAATATGTGTATACATAGATAAGCTTCCTTCACTTCCTTCTCAACCATTTAACTCCATGCCTATGTCTTAGACCAGGGGCCCACTGCTTTATAGGGATAGTTATCAACTCTTCCCTTGATCTTGGTTTTCCAACATCCTGGGGACTGTCCTCACCTCTAGTAGCCAGGGCTTCAGCTTATGGTCCAGTAAGATATCAAAGCCAAGGATCTCAAAGCAGGCACAAGTGCCACTACCCAAATATTGTGGAAAGCAGGTTCGATAGTTGTGTCGAAGGATGAAATGAGCAGAGATTATGGTCTTGATGATGATGTCCTCGATGTCCCCCCACAGTTCTTTTGGCTCGTAGCTGTGATCCCTCAGCCAGGTATTGAGTGTTGACAGCTTCCTGTGAGGCCCAGTACTCAGAGGACTCAGGAAGCTCTCTTAACACTAAGCCCATACACTTCTAGTTTCAAAGGAAATCATTCTTAAGAGTGAGGATTGGAATCTGGGTATGATTTCTGAGTTGGATACAAAGACAGGACACATAGGCCATACACAGGGAAAGGCTAAAGAGCCTGAGACAGGAGAGACTGTTCCTGAACGTTCCAGAGAAACCAGCCTCCAAAGAGGCCACTCATTTACTTGGGTTATGGAGACTTTCACAGTGCCTGTGCAGGACTGGGCTGGGGTGGGGTGGGGTGGGAGAATAATAGAAGCTGGGGGAGATAAAAAAGGGAAGTACCTCTTGCTGCCTATGGTCTCGTCTCGGACAAAATTCTCATTATGTTTGTTGATGGCATAGTTGGTCAGGTGCATGCAGACGTCATCCTGTGAAGAAACCAGTTCAATGTTCTCAGGCTATATATGGAAGTACATTCCTAATCCCATTTTGCACTCCTTTATTCCACCTGTCCCCAGAAATTTCTGCCTGTGACCCTTATTCATATTCCATGGGTTTCCAAATAACTTTAAAAATTCACCAGAGGATCCTGCCACCCTTTTACTTAGGCTCTGTGGTTCCCTTCCTCGAGTGCCGTCCACTGGGAAGAACGGCATTAAATTCTGCTAAACTTATCTTTAATGGTTCCATCTCACCCCAAACTATTATTATTCTTCTCAGCTATATTTCCCCATACTATTCTCAGGAAAAGTTGTCAAATCAAATTATGAGCATCTCCTTCTGGCAATCCTTTCTTGTAAACAGGGAGAAACTTAAAATTATTTTTCCCAAGTTTCTCCAACAACAACAACAACAACAACAACAATAACAACAACGTTGTTGTAAAACTTGTTGACAAGGGGAGGGAGAAACACTGGAGCACTGATGTGTGCCTGCTTCTACTTCAGGGCTGCTTTTTAGGTCATCATACCAGATTGCTGATGCTGGGTTCCATGTAAGGCATCGTAGCAAAGCGGGCTAAGCCTTCTTCATACATGAAGACACGAAGTGGGTCACAGGATGTGATCAGGACATAGATTCTCATATCAAACTTGAAGCCATCAATGAGGAAGGGCTGAGAGAGAGTGATCCCCATGAGGGAAGCGAGCAGTAGGAACTAAAACTGAAGAAAGTGGAGGGCCAAAGGGTGCTGAAACCAGTCCCCTCCCCCATGATTCTAGGAAGATGCAATCAGATTCAGTTTCGTGTCAAGAAGAAAATGGTACTAACAGGTAATGAGAGGTCAATGGTCTAGGTTCTAAATCAAACTCACCTTGGATATATACTGCTGACAGATCATGTGCTCTCCTGGTTTGATCTCCCGAGGATTCCGAGTGATGAAAATACCCCGTCCCTGGCAGCCACTGTCTGGCTTACAGATGTAAGTACGAGTTTTTCGCTGACGTCCATGGCTCTGAAAGTCCCCGTAGCTGTTTGGCACAGAAAGCTTCTAGATATCATGGTCACTGCTCACCCACAGGATCCTTTGAGTCATTTCCTATTATTCACTGTGTGACTCTCTTAGAACACCCATTCTCAGCTCAGTTTTTCTTTGGCCAGCTGAATTCCTCTCCTGATTTTTATCCCTGTGTGCCATTCTAACATAACAATATGAGTCTGAAAGGGGCACAGAGAATACATTCTGCTATCAGTCCACGTCAACATTAGGCCAAATTTTACTTACTCTGCAGGAAGGCACCAGGTCCGGGGGAAGATATTGTACTCAGAAGGATAGAGCTTGTGCATACGATTGAGATTTCGGGCCAGAAGATCTTTGCGACAGATTTCTGTCATTCCTGGAAAGTGGTTGATTTTCTAAAAAAGACAGGGACAGCCAGTGTTAGCTCCTTAGATTTAAACATTAGCAGAAGCAGTAAAGGAAAATGGAAAGGGGAGAGATACAGAGAACACAGGGAAGGTACCAGTGCCCCAGGAGAGGTGTACTTTAAGGTAGGTGTCTCAGACGCTAGAAAGAAGAACCACCCATGCTGCCCAGGACAGATGACAAGGCTAGGGAATGTCAGATGAAGGGAACTAGATTCACTGCAGTCCCTTTACATTCATAACCCTAGTCCTTCCAGGCCCTTTCCAACATGCTAGTCCTAAAAGGGATCGGTTCTGCCAGTATAACTGAACACAAAGCAAGCAAGGGTTCTTAGGAATTCAAAAGGAAACCAAAGAGGAAAAGAAAATAAATAACAACTACAGCTAAAGGGATTTTTTAATATCACCAGTCATTTAGGGAGAAAATGGCATTCAATTCAGTGTGCCAAAAATAATTCCAAGCATTGGGGATGGGGGTGGTGTGACAATTTGGGAACATACGAGCAATGAAGCAAAAGAAGCAGATCCTTGGATTTAGAGGTAAAGATGGATGTAATAATAAAAACAACAGCTAGAATTTATATAGCATTTTAAATTTCACAAGTGCTTTACTGATATCTCATGGCTCACAGGAAGTGCCTGGCACACAGTAAGTGCTTCATAAATGATCAATCTACTGTGTGTGTCTAGGTCTCCCCGCTGAAACGTCATCATGGTATATAGAATCCCTCGTGACCAAAGATTCATTCCCCAAAAGTTTCTAGGAGTGGTTTTCCCTGAAACCCTACCATTGAGGTACTGAACAAAGGAAAAAAAGTGTATTCTTGGTTATCCTGTACACCAACAGGGGTAGATATTCCACTCCAGAGGTTCCCAAACTTATTTGTCCTACTGCCCCCTTTAAAAAAAATTACTCAGCGCCCCCCTGAGGCTAAGTTAGGTTAACCCTTATTGTTATTCAACACCCCTCAATTGCACCGGAGGCTACTACTACCTCCTGGATGGTTCCACAGCCCCCCACAGGGCAGTATCACCCACTTTGGGAACCTATGCAGTGGTATAGCCCCCTTCCCCTAGTGTCTCTTCCCGAGTAGTTAATACCTGAAACCTCTTCATGTCCATAACGCGCTCCAGTGAGACAGAACAGTCCGTCCAGTACACTGTCCATTCCTCATCCTCCCCCACCTCCTTCAGGCCACAGAGCTGAGCTGCTCGTCGAACTGAAGGACAGAAAAGTCCCAACTCTGACCTTCAAGGTACATGCCATGCAGAACAGAGAAAAGAGACTTCGGCCACTGCTTAAGTCTCAGTATGGTGAAGAATAAGGATGCTTACTCTGAGTGAGGGGCAGATTCAGCACTGTAGTTTAACACGTGATATCCCTATGTATATTATTCTGTCAGAGCACTTCTTCCAAGATGTCTGCAGCAGAGAAACTAAAAGCCTGGCTCTACCTTAGTCAGCTCTCAGTTACCCCAACCAATGAACCAGGACTTAATTTTCCAGAGCTGTCCCTAAGGAACAAGAGCCTTGTCCTCAAACCCTGTGCTTTACAGAACTTGGGACAAAGATCCAGTACCACTAGGGTGCCTCTCAGCTGGCATTAAAAAAGACTTGAAGCTCATACAATCATTGGTAAACCCACTATTAATATGGCAGTGAGTTTATGAACTCCCATCTTCTAGGTACTCCCTTATTCTGTCTTCCCCGTTTTTATTCCTTTTTTCTTTCCAGGCTGTTCATGATGTTTACTTAACTTCATTTCAGTCAAATAAAAATGTGAAGGTCATGGCAGTGCTATGATTTCTCCTAATCCTGTATCATCTATCCTTATCACCTCCCTAACAAACCTGGCATGCCTATTTCCTACATCCTTCAGTGGAAGCACTGTTGTTCCAAGTACCTCTTCTCCCTTGGTTCATATTAGAATGTTAAACTGGCTCTGCACCTTGGCTGGGAAGGTGAGCTATCTTGGTGATAACATTTTTTGTAAAAAGAGTTGGGTTCTCAGTTCAGCTTCTGGATGGGCAATGCCTAGACTGAATTAGTACTTAGGTCCTATTAGGGGGACTCATTTCTCTGGGAACCATTCTTACCTCTCAGGTCAAACCTGATAATTTCTACATATAACCTGTGATATTGATTATTCCCCTTGACTATCATATCAGCTATCAAATGCTAATCTACAGCCAGTCTACGTAATCCATTCATTCAATAAACACTGTTAGCATTCAGAGATTTAGAACTGGGAGGGACTTTTAAAAATCATCTAGTCTACCCCTACCCCCCCCTTATTTAGCAAATGGGGATACAGACAGATTAGGCAACTTCCCCAAGGCCTCACATGCTAATAAGTGAAAGAGTCAGGATTTAAACTCAGGTACTTTTGATATCAAATCCAACATTCTTTCCACTATACTACACTGCCTTATGTCTTCATCCCATCCTTCCTGTCTCATCTGGGATCTCATTATATCAATCATCTCTTCACCACTGACTTCCATCTGAAAACTTACCCATCTCTCTCCACCATCCTAAAACCAGTTTTTCTGGGGCAGTAGGTGGCGCAGTGGATAAAGCACCGGCCCTGAAGGCGGGAGGACCTGAGTTCAAATCCAGCTTCAGACCAAACACTTGACACTTACTAGCTGTATGACCCTGGGCAAGTCACTTAACCCCAATTGCCTTTAAAAAAAAAAAAAACCACAACAGTTTTTCTGACCCCCCTAACCCATCTTTGTCTGATGTAATCCTATCCATTTATTGAAAGTTCAAGTAAAATGCAGTATGTCTTTTCCATGGTCTCGGTTAGTGATGTCTCCCTTCTATGAACTTGTGCCCCTTTGTTGTACTTCCCTTATAATTATACATATTGTATTATAATCACTTGTGTACCTCTCTCTCCTCCTACCCTTTAAGATTCTTAAAGACAAGGCACCTAGCATAGTATTTTGTGCTTAGTTAAATAATTTAGTTATTAGTTTGTGGAATAATTGAATAGATCTTGAAAGCTGAAGCATACTCCGTCATTAAGGTTATATACCAATACTGATGTTAGCCAGTACAACTTAGCAGGAACTTTCCTGCTGACAAACCCTGCCTTTTGGAGACTATGATGGGTATTTATAGTAGCAACATGCATATTGGAGAAGCCCTGTTTTAGAGAAAGGTAAAAGTTCTTATTGAGAGCAGCTAGGTGGTGCAGCAGATAGAGCAATGGGACCTAGGAAGACCGAAGTTCAAATCTGGCCTCAGACATTTACTAGCTGTGTGATCCTGGGCAAGTCACTTAACCCAGTTTGCCTCAGTTTTCTCATCTGTAAAATGAGCTAGAGAAGGAAATGGCAAACAGCTGCAGTATCTTTGCCAAGAGAACCCCAAATGGGGTCATGAAGAGTCAGACACAACAGAACAACAAAAAAGTTCTTACCACTTTCATACTTGCAATTGGTCAGGTTGATAGTCAAGACCCTGCAATGGAGGGAGATTCGAAATCAAGTGAAATTTAAAAATAGGATAGAAGGGAAAAACTGAACCTTGGGGTAGCTAGGTGGGTAGATTTGGGTCCCCAAACAGGACACCTGAAGAGCTAACCAAATTCTCTTATCAGCAATGGAGGCCACAGGAGAAAGACCAGAATGCCAGCCTCAGATAAATAATAAAGGGAATTTCAATAAAGTCTCAATAAAGGGAAATTCAGATTTGATCACCTCTCATAACCAATTAGTTACATAAATTTGTTGATTCCACCACCACATCATCTGTTACATGTCACCAACCTCTCTACTCCCACTAACACTATCCTAGAATAGGCCTGCATTACCACCTGTCGGGTCTACCCACCCTCTGCATCCTCAAAATCATCCTTCATAATGCTGCCAGAATAATCTTTCTTATGCATACATGTGGTTCCACTACACATCTACTCCAAAATCCTTAGTAGTGGTTATCCATTGTCATTAAATAAAGTTAAAAGTTCAATTCAACAAGCATTTTAAATGAATTGAAAAAAGCTTGGAGTCATCACCTGGCATTTAAAATATTCCTTAATCTGAAGGTCATTCTAACATTCTTGCACTCTTCTAGATAGACTGGGCTACTCTCACTACACAAAAGTATGGCTTCATTGCCTTTGCTCAACCTATTTACAATACTAGAAACACTTCCTTCCCTTCCCCCTCTTTGTCTTTTGAATTCCTATCCATCCTTTACAGCTTAACTTAAACAAATACTGTCCTCTGCACAAATCTTTCTCAGTACTTGGCAGTGTTGGGCACATAAAAGGCAATCTAATAAATGTTTATTGTATTGTAACGTCCAAGCAGTTCTTCTGAAAATAGATAAACTAAGGGGGGGAAAAGCGTGAAGTGCCCACCTTCCCTATTTCTTCATTAGAGGGGTAACGGATAAAACATCTGGTTTCACGTGGCCTTATCACAGGGATCCCCAGAAGCCTAGCTAGTAAGTAGAGGACGCAGGGAACTATTATTACCTTCTTTTCCGCCGCCTCTTTTTCCTCCCAACATCTGAGTCCTCTGGCTCAGAGGGAGCTGCTGTTTTCTTCTGCAACTTTTTGACAGTGGAAGAGGGGGCCCCGCTCCCACCTGCCTCAGTGTTGCTCTGCTGCGAAGCATTAGAGGGGCCTGCGCCCCTTTTAACATTTTCCTCCTCTGACTCCTCTTCCTCACCATAGTCTTCCTCTGATTCACTAGTTTTGCAGACAGCATTCTCCATACTTCTAGATTCTGCAGCAGAGGCAAAATACCCAGGCAAGAGGTTAGGAAGGACTGCCCCGACCCTGACGCTCGTCTCCAGCTAGGCCCATGGCTTGTGTTCTCTATACGCACACACATAGAGTACAGATTCAGGTGGACAGACATGTACAGGGACGCCTGCTTGCGAACTCGGGGATGGGACCACTGCTCGCTCTGAGCTGGGGGTGGGGGACCAAACGCGCCAGCATGCGGAGGGAGCGGACACTGAGGGGCGCCTCCCCGCGGCCGACCCGGGCACGGCAGGGAACGCCGGCGAGGAATGACGGGCAGGAGAACTTTTAATAGGAAGGGGCGAAAGGCTGCTAAGCACCAGAGGCTCAGTGAAGGAGGGGGCGTCCCGGCGCAGCAGCGGCGCCCCCTAGCACCCAGGAGCGGCTCGGCTGAATTCTCATCCTCTCCCCTCGCCCAGCGCTTGACTCGTCAGTCTCCCGGGCTGTGGGGGACCACCTCCTGGCGCTCCAGAGGGGAGCCCGCTTCCTGCCCCGGGGCTCTCACCTAGCACTGAGACCCCGGCGGCGGCGGCGCCTCCACAGGCTCGCAGCGCCGCCGCCGCCGCCGCCGCTGTCACCATGGACACGCCTTGGAGAAGCGTTCTGGAGGGGCGGGGCCTCCTCTCCTCAGCCACACCCACCCTGGCCTTCGCAGCGGCCATCTTAGGCCTGGCAGAAAGAGGCCCCGACTCCGAGGCCCTCGCCGATCTCCCCAAGGGCCGCGGCGGGCGCCTCGCGAACCTGCTCGTCTTTCCGAACTGACTACAAAGCACGCTAGAACTTGTAGTTTCTAGGGAGCCAAACTCCAGAACGTCGCCAAAGTCCCGAGGCGGCTCCCAGTGTAGACGTGCGGAGCCGTCGCGGTCCGGCGCTTACGGGCTTGGGCGGGAAGGGGCGGCCTCCGGGGCCGGGGCTCTGCACCCCCCGATCGTTATCTGTGGGCCCCGTACTTAACTTCTCCCAGCCCAGCTCCGAAGAAAATCAAGGGGAAAGCAGTGACAGATAGGGAAAGGGTTTATTGGACAGATTCCTCCTCCCCGTGATGGAGACCAGAGAGAGGAGAGTGTGTGTGTGTACACATATGTGTATTACATTTATTAAGAAGAAACCTTTATTAAGCATGGGTGCTGTGCAGGGTGCTGCCTCTGCCTTCAAGTACTTAGATTCACGTACACAAATAAATAGAACACAAAGGGGATGGGGAATGGATCAGGAAAGGATCCTGCAGGATCCTTTGCAGGAAACAGCACCTAAGCTGCAGGAAGGCAAGGATTGTGAAAGGCAGCAATGAACAGGGAAGGCATTCCAAGCACCGAGGGATGTGTGGAACTTCGAGGTTGGGAATACTAGCTCAACAGCTGGCTAGTAGTCCAGTTTGGCTGACAATGAGAAGGCATATAGGGAATTAATCTGAAGTAAGTCTGGAAAAGTAGGTTGGAAATGAGAGTGTGGAGGGCTTTGAACGCCAGACCTCTAAGGAATTTGTACTATAGCCTTAAAACAATAGGGGTCACTAAAGGCTTTTTGAGCAGTCATGACAAGTGAAACACTCCAAGGAGGGAGGAACAAGATAAATTAGAAAAGAAATATCACCCAGGGAAAGCACCTACTATGCTATGCCAGGAGGGACACCAGTGCTTCTTGAAGTTGTAAAAACTGGGATGGAGGCAGCAGAGATTGCTGAATGAGATTCAGAGCTGAAGCTTCGGTCAAGCTGTGGAAATCCTGGGATGTTTTAACAGGCAGGTGTCCTGCCAGCTCACAGAGTGCTACATTGAAAGCCTCCCCTTCTTTAACCCCAAAGCTGGACTTCCGGGCCCAGAGGATGACCCGGACACCAGCATAGGCCAATGAGGATGGTGGGTTTCCAGGCGGAGCCCCCCGGGTCACAAATAAGTTATGTGCAATCTCCCGGTCAACGAGGTAGTTGGTGACCTGGCAGACCCTGTCTACCAGTGCCTCCAACTTTGGTCCTGGCTCATCCACATAAAACAGGAAACCAGAGGCTGGGAGTCCTTTTAGTAGGTGGATATGACCATTGGGATCTAGTGGCTGGCTTGGCGCAGTCTCTACTGGCAGTTTATGGGCTAGGTAGTAACCATGCAGATGTAAATGGTTGACAGAAGCCAAGCCCCCTAGACTGTTGAAACCCACTCGGAAGCCAGGATGGGTGCTAAGCATGACGGCCTCCACCCCAAACTGTAATGGGTGTGGCAAGAGGATCTGTGGGAGCCCTTGGGTTGGCTCTGGCACAAACAGCACATGTCCCCATTCCAAGGGACTGACATTGATGATTACCAGGACCTCAGTGCACTGGAGAGCCATCGGAAAGCCTGGTTCTCGGCACAGGCGGAAGAGGATTTCTCCTGGATGGATCTTATTGAAATTGAACTGCTGAGGGTCAAATGCCTGCCTCACACTCTGGATGTTCTGAGGGCATCTTCTCTGTACACCCCGCTCTACATTCAGCTGAGCCACAAAACCCAGAGGGCCAGGTAGGATTTGGGTTTGCAGTTCCCCAAGGCAGTAACGAAACAATCCTTGTTCCATCCGTTGCTTCCAAGATGACTGGAGGGTACAATCGAAACGAGACAGCAAAGGGGGACACAGGACACCAGATTCACTAGTCTGCCATTGTACCCCTTCCACTATTAGTTCCTCCCAGCAATACACAAAATCCAATACGCCCAGTTCAACAGGGAGTCTTGACTGTTCATCACGGCCACTACTCTGAGGTGGTAAATCTGAAGTTTCATTTATGTTCTCTGGTACAGCCATACGAAAAGGGCACAAATTCCAAGTTCTACCAGGTATGGGTTCCTCCAGGTGATCTGGAATATAAGAACAAGGGGTAAAGGAACATAAGAGTATGGTACCACATTTCTAAGGGCTTTAAAATTTTTTGGCTTTTTTTTTATTTTTAGATTACCTTTAAAAATTACTTTTAAAGTTCTGGAATAAATACTGTTTTAAATCTATTCTGTAAAAACAGCTTTCTCCGCTGCTGGGTTCTGTACATATAAATATGCCCCATGACATGTATAATATTATAGTTTCTCAATATGTATCCAAGGCCAAACTTATGCAAAGGAAAATTGATAATCTAATAAGGATTACAAAGCCTGTCCCATAACATTTTTCATTTGCCATTGTATCAGCCCTCCCCCAAATTCTCACTTTTAGTTCCATGTCCCTTTAATGAGTATAGAAACAAAAAAAGAGAGGCAAAAGTACCTCAAGTTAAAATTTACATTTAGGCTTCCTGATAGCAGGTCCCCTAGTCATTTTCTCTCATTAGTACAAAACAGCTGACACTTGGTTAAGAGTATTCTTCCTAAGCAAGTTGTCAATGAGCCCTAAGACTCAGAAAGGCAGTGGAGAAGACAGGCCCACAGCTGTGTGCCAAATAATTGGTTTATTAATTCGTTAAATATCTACTGACCCACTCCTATATGTAATGTATGGGACATGTTCCTTGTCCTTTAAAGAGTGTACTTTTACAGTATAGTAGGAAATGTAAAACGTACTGAAATTAACATTCACATATTAATACATCTACAACGTAGATGGTGCATTATAGTTTTTTAAAGAACACATACATTTAAAGACTTGCTTGATCTTCATAAGAACACTCCATGAGGTAGATACGGCAGGTGTCCTCACTTTACCTAAGAGGAATCTGAGATTCAGTGACTACATAGTATAAGTCACAAAGTGGTGGAACCACAGAGCAAACCCAGGAGTGGATAGAATGGCTGGGCTTGGGATCAGGAAGTTGTTGCTGCTTATTTCCAACCCTAATATGGGCAATACCTGATAAGGTATTCATTAGAGGTGTCAGAAAAAAATGGGGGAAGGCACGGGAGGAGAGAGAAATCTACTTGTTAGGGATGAAGAGTATCCAATGAAAACTTCCTTCATCCGCCCTCCCCGTGGCTCCCCTGGCACAACTGGGGGGCCAGAGCTTTCAATCTTCCCAGCATAGATGTTTCCAAATAATCATTTTTCTCCCTTCCCCTTCTACTGTCCTCCAGAGAGCGAGTGCACCGTCTCTCTTCCCTCGCTCCCCTCCTCTCCTACCTTGGCTCTTCCCACCAGGCTATGTTAGGTGGGCAAACATGCCTCTTCCAAGATCTGGGAAGAGGAAACCGGTGGCCTGACTTCCCGAGCGCTTCGAAGGTCATAGATGCGCATGCGTCCTTTTTAAGGGGCAGGAGCAACTATGATGTAGAGATCACCCACTTTCTCGAGGAGCAAATGGGCGGGGCCTACCAAATCTACCCCGCCCCCTCCAGTCTCAAGAGGAGGAGACACAATCCCTCACCCCTACCCTGATCCCTACCCTTCTCTGGAGCTCAGTCAGGTTTTAGGATTCCAGAATTCGGGACTGACAGAGACCTTGCAGAGATCTTGTCCATTAACCTCATTTTTTAGAGTTTCGATCCCCCTGAAATGATGTACTGTTTTAGGGGTGATCGACTACTTAGCTCCTCGCTCGAACCCTTATTTCAGACAAACGGTCTCTTGGTAGACCGTAGAAGACACACACATCCAATACATGCATACCAGCAACATTACTGCCAGACATGAAGCAACATAAATACAAATTAGGGGATCAAATAGTGAAATATTCTCCGCACCCATCTCTGCAATCTCCTGCTCTTCCAGGGATTTAATTTAATTCCCCTTTAATCCCCAGTAATCTCCCCAGCATAGCCCCAGAAGTCACTTCATAATCTCAAGGTCCCAAGGGTCTCTCCTGGAAAGAGTCTTTGAAGAAAGTGGGCTGATGACGCCTCTCACGTAGGCTCTGGAATCTCAAGGTCAGTCAGCCAGTCAATAAATATTAATTAAGCGCCTGCTGTGTGCCAGGAACAGTGCAAAACACTGGAGATTTAAAAAAAAAAAAAAAAAAAGACAGCTTTTGCCCTCTCCACGATTTCACAATCTCTTAGAAGGAGACAACAAGCAAACACATATTTACAAACAAGCTACATACAGGATAAATAGGGTGGTGGTGGTGAATTAAGAGAAGGAAGGCACTAGAATTAGGAGGGGTTAGGAAAGACTTCCAGTAGAAGATAGGCTTTTTGTTGGGGTTTAAAGGAAACCAGAGAGGTCAGCAGTCGGAGCAGAGGAGGGAAAACTCCCAGGAGTCAAGAGATATGGGGTGTCTTGTTCGTGGAACAGCAAAGAGGCCAATGTTACTGAATAGAAGAGAACGTGTCGGGGATTATAGAGTAAGAAGACTAGAAAGGTAGGACGGGGCTAGATTATAAATGGTTTTGAACGCTAAGCACAACATTTTCTATTTGCTCCTGGAAGTGATAGGGAGTCACTGGAGTTTATTGAATAGGAGAGCGACAAAGTCGGGCCTGCGATTTAGACCAAGAATAACCACATCACTCCAAGCGGTTTTCGAAAGTCGGGGGGTGGGGATGCGAGTTAGGGGAGGGAGGCTAGAAGCAGCTAACTCGCTCGTCCTTCTAAGCCTGAGGTTCTCTTAAAAAGCTGTAGTAGTAGTTTAAAAGTTCCCACTTTATGGTGCAATCTCCACCAATCAAAGTCCTTTTTGCCTGGGACCACGCGACTTTCCAGCCTCACGCACAGCCCTCTGGGAGATGTAGTCCAGACACTCTCCTGATGAATGAAGGTCTCTCGTCCCTATGAATTGTGGGAAATGAAGTCCCACTGCAACCTGTCCAGGAAACTGAGTTCCACAGACCCGTTCGTTTTTTTTCCGCATTTTTTCCACGACACCCCGCTGCCTCTCTTTCTCCTAGGCGTGGGGATAAAGAGCTGTCTTCTCCTAAGGTGCAGCCGCAACAGGTCACATGACTCCGGCTCACACTCTCTTAACACCTCCCTCCCTTCTCAGGTCCCCCCGCCCCTCCCCCAAGCTGCCTAAACTAAACATGCCTGATTTTGGAACCCTCTCCCTGGATTTCGCCCTGGGAATTGAAAACTGGAGTTCGGGCCCTTTAAGAAAGAGAGAGGAGGAGCCTATAGGCAAATGAGGAAGGCGGGGTTGGAGTTGCCTCTGTTGCGGCGGGGACTGGGCTGGCGGCCGGGCGGGTGACGCGAGAGGCGGAAGTGAGTGGCAAAGTTGTTGCTGTCCGGCATCGGAGTTGGTGGAGTCGCTAGGTCTAGAGCCGGCGGCTGTAGCAAGGCCATGGGCAGCTCGACCAGTCACCTCTCCAAGGAGCTGCTGACAGAGTACCAGGTGCGGTGGAGGCAACAGCTCTGTCTGGGCTTGCCCTGGGCTGGGTGGGCGGCTTTGGGCCCTGGAACCACGGGCAGAGGTTTGAGGGTGACGACCCTTGGCCGTGCCCGCTTGGCTACCCACTCGCAGACTAGCCCCGCTCTTCTTTCCCCGCCCCTCAAACCTCCCCTCGCCTCTTAGGGGTGGGAGGCCCGAGAATGCTTCAAGTGCAAAGCTCGCCGGGACTGGCGGGGGGAAGCGAGCGCGGGGATGGGGGGAAGCGAGCGCGGGGATGGGGGGAGCTCTTGTCCTGACTGCCGATCGTACATCTGACGAGCATCTCTTAATTTTCCTTCCAGGAATTAACGTTCCTGACGAAGCAGGAGATTCTCCTGTAAGTACCCCTCCAGCCTCCACCCCACTCAGGAGGCAGCTGGACTTGGCCAGAAGACTTGGGTTTTCTATCCTGGCTTTGCCACTGAGTGACTCTGTGACCTTAGGCAAGTCACTTACCCTCCCTGAGTCTCAGTCTCCTCCCCCATAAAATTAAGGGTTTGGACTAGACTATCTCAGAGGTCATGATGAGTGTTAGGATTGAAAGAAAACCTTGGAGACTGAGGCCACTTTCCTCATGTTAGAGAGGAGGAAATTGAGTCCCAGAGAGCTGAAGTGACTAGTCCAAGGTCACAAAGTTACTCTGTTGGTAAAACTGGCACTAGAATGCAGGTCTTCAGACTCCAAAGTTCAGTGCTTTTCCCACTACTGCATACTGCTTTTACACTCCCTTGATTTCATTTCCCCCTTATTGTCTTCCCTGTCCTATTCTGAGATAGGTCTAATGCACACTAGTGGATTGTCAGTCATAAATCACGTACTTGAAGCTGGGCCAGGGCCATAAAGCAATCTAGGGGAAAAAATTAGAGCATCTAGGAGTGGGATCTTCAGAAGTGCTCTTTGGCCTTGCTCTCATTAAATTGTGGGCCTTGCTTTTAGAGTTTTCTGCCTTGGTTGTCCAAGGGGTGGTGCTGTTGTTGCCCGTAGCCCACTTTGCCATAGCCACCAAGTAAGAACTTTCTAAATTCAACCGCTTATCCAACTTTGAGTTTTTGAACATTTATAACATTTTGCTTGCTCTACATGCTTAGAGATCAAAGCAGTTGTCCAAAGCTTTTTCAGAGTGCTAATCAATAATGGAATTCCTGGACCCTTCTTGGCAGGGGCAGAAATGCTGAGAGGGGTGGGGAATCCTTCATTGGAGGATGGCTGTATTGATTAAGCATCTGGGAAAACCTTTGATGAGTAGAATCCAGGACACTAGGTAGAGACTGTGGGATTCTTGGTGAAGACAGTGAAATGAGGACAGTCCATTGGACCATGAGTTCCTTGAGAACAGGAATATTTTTGGCCTTTCTTTGTATCCCCAGTGTTAGTTACCACTATACCTGGCACATAGGAACTTAGTAAATAAATGCTTGTTGACTTACTGGTTCCTACCACCCTCCATCCATCCAAATCCTTCCCATCTTTAAAGGGACAGCTCAAGTTCTACCCGTTTCCATGAAGGCTTCTTTGATAAGGCCAGTCCAAAGTAATCTCTTCTGTCCTTTGAAATCTTATCACTTCTTGTCTGCACCACTCATTTGACTCCAGTCATATAATGCTTTGTGACATCTCTCCTATATTGTTATCTTTGGTTCATAGGATCTTATGACTTCTTGTGTATTTTTTGATCCCGCCTCTTCCCCAACTACACAGCAGACTATAGAGGCTAGCTCCCCACAGTGCTGTGAATTTAATAGAAACTATAAGTCTTACTTGGTTGATGGACTGAATGAATATTTGTGACCTGATTGAATGAATTCTGGTTTTCTTTACCAGGGCCCATAAGAGGTTTAGTGATCTGCTTCCTCAGGAGTCTCGGAATGTGGAAGATTCTTTGAGAGTCCGAGTATCCACTGAGCAGATCTTAACACTTCCGGAGCTCAAGGTGGTACCCTTCCCACAATGCTTTGTTCAGTAGTTAATTTCAGCCCCTTGTTTTGGGATCTGTGGGACATTTCTCAATCTGATAACCCCTTCTTATTCCAATAATTCTAGTGATGGGCAGTCCTCTGTAGTTCCCAGTACAGGGCCTTGGACATAGTACGTATGTAATCAAAGTTTAGTGGTTGATTCCTTATCAGAAACTTAATGCCCTTCTGCTTACAAGAGCCTCTCTTGCTCTAGGCCAACCCCTTCAGGGAACGTATTTGCCGTGTGTTCTCCACAGCACCAGAAAGAGACAGCTTGAGCTTTGAAGACTTCTTGGACCTCTTCAGTGTCTTCAGCGATGCAGCTACCCCTGAAATCAAGTCTCACTATGCCTTCCGCATCTTCGGTAAGGACTGAAGGGACTAGGGTATATAGTGAGTGGAGTGGGGGGGACTGTCAAGGTCTTTTCAACAGGGATAATTTTTTGTCTTGGCCTTTCCTAACTAGATTTTGATGATGATGGGACCTTGAACAAAGAGGATCTGAAGCAGCTAGTGAACTGCCTTACTGGGGAGGGCCAGGACACTCAACTCAGCACCTCTGAGATGAAGCAGCTCATTGAGAATGTGAGCGTGGACAGTATAGCGAGGGAAGGGGAAGAGAAGGGAAGGTATTGGGGCATTTGACAGAACTTCTCTCTCCTTTCCCTGGGCAGATCTTAGAAGAGTCTGACATTGACAGGGATGGTACCATCAACCTCTCAGAGTTCCAACATGTTATCTCCCGTTCACCTGACTTCACCAGGTATAACCAGAGCCACCTGGCAATTTAGCTACCCATAGCATCTTGCTAGAATGAGGGCAAGGGGTAAGAAGAGTGGAGAAGTGTCTTTGGGTTAAGGTTGACCCAAGTCAACCCATTGTCCTCTGAGAGTGAGCCAATTTCAGACAGGTTTTAGGGAACATATTTACTAATTTCTATCTGAGTTTATTTGATCTAGGTTTCATTTGCTGTCCTCTGCTCACCATGCCTGTTCTACAGTGGATCATACATCTTTGTCTCTTCCAGCTCCTTTAAGATTGTCCTGTGATGAGTACTTGCAGTGTCTGGCTACACCAACCCATCTCTGAGAAATTCTCTTCCATGCACTGACCTCACCTGCAGTGCCAACTCCTTGCAAATGGTTGCCATGCCTGGGCTAGCCCTGGGGCTTGTACTGAGGAGTCCAGCGCCCTGGGCTCTCCTCTCCTCACTGCCATTGTGACAACACTGTTCATGTTTATACTAATCAATAATAAATATTTGGAAGTTTTGCTCATGTGTGTTTTAGTGGGTACGTTGGACAAAGTTTGAAGCAGGACAGAGAGATCTCTTTTAAGATTAGTAAGAGGAAGGTGAGGAAGGGACTAATGGAGAATTTCTGAATTACAGTAGAGTCAGGGTAGAGATCTCTTTATAAAGCAGAATGTAGAGGATACAAAATGAACTTCTTGCTCTGTGCTTACTCAGAGAAGGATGAATTATTCAGTGCTCAGCACATCACCCCTATATTCAGCTGTCTTTTCCCAGTACATGGAGATTGGGTCCTAGATTTTTAAAGTTCAAACTACTGGGGCAGCTAGGGGACACAGTCAATAGAGCACCAGCTCTGGAGTCAGAAAGGCCTGAGTTCAAATCTGGCTTCAGACACTTAGCTCTGTGATCCTGGGTAAGTCACTTAGCCCCGACTGCCTTCTAAAAATAAAAAGTTCAAACTGCTGGTGATCTCCACGTAGCCTAATTCTTGTAACTTAGTTATAGAGCAGACCAACTGTTTAAATTCCTAACATCCCTTTCCCATCTGAATATTGCTTAGCAAAGATAAGTACTGTTGACTACTGCCCCACCAGAATCAACTCACTGAGATGAAGCAGTTTATTGAAAGTGTGAAAACAGGCAAGCCCAGCATAAGGAGGGATGGAGGAAGATGTAAGATTGGGCTTTTCTCCTGGAATTTTCTCCATGCCCAAGGCAGTCAGAACCAGTTTTTAATAACAGCATTCAGTGTGAGAGGAAAGGCACACTGCAATAGATTAAAATTCAATTTCAGATTTTATTAAAAAAAAAAAGTAAAGTGCATTTTATAAAAAAAAAAATGATACAAAACCCACATAGATTCATGGCCCCTTGACTGGGCAGTGTCAATGTCCCTTTGGGCAGAAACAGCACAAAGGGCCACAGAATTATTAAGCTTGGGGATGTTAGTCATTTATGGGAAGTAGGAGGAAGTCCGAAAGGGTCAGAGGACGAAGAACGATGGGGACACAATGGTTCTTTTAGGTCATCAGGAAGGGAAGACTAAGTCTAGTCTTTGATGTTCAACATGAACTCCATAAAAAATGGAATGTGATTCTATCTCCTCCCTTGACATAGTGATGACACCAACCTTCACCAGCCCTCTTGGGGCCCAAGAGAACACGTGGAGAGGCCACTACTAGTTCTTCGGCTTGGCCGGGTATGGCAGTGAGATAACAGTCCTCCTGTTGTCTGTAGCCTGATTGTTCTGTGGAGGTAGGGAGAAAGTGTACCCTGGCTTGGCTTTCTTACTCTCTGGTCCTTGGCATGGCAAGCCCAAGACGGAGTCTTGGGGGCCTCAGAGATGACCCCAGCTGTCTGCAATGACTGACTTTGGCAGTAGAACACGAGAAGAACTGTTGAAGGCATGTTGAAGAAGAGAAGATGGATTTCAAACTCAGGCTCAGGCAATTGTATTGTCCTGGTACCTCCAAAATGCCCCATGGAAACTGTAAGCGGGGGGAGCCCATGAACTGAATCCATTCCAGAATAAGGCTTGAAGGAAAGTTCTTGATCACCTCTCACCCCTCATGCTTGGTTCACATTTTCTCTTTTTTTTTTTTAAGGAAAAATGTTTTCAAAAGGGCTCAAGAGAGCTAGTCTATCAGAACAGTCTCTTAGCAAAGACTGAGAATGAATGAGAGAGGTCACTAAATGACTGGACCCCCCCCAGGCGCCTTCTGGCTGTAGATTCAATGTGTGGAGCTCTAAGGTGACCACCTAGGGCCAACAAATCCACCCCCTCTCCATTCCTGGCTGAGGGGAGGAGGCCTTACAGTTATGCTAGCATATAAGGCTGATGATCCTCTTCCCTCTGGCTGGTCCATGTCCCCAGAGACTCCCATAGGAAGAAGGAGGGAGCTGCCCCACGAGCTAGCTCCATTCTTTGAATTCTGGGCGCTATTTGATGAAAAGAGGTAGGGCTGGCCATTCTATATGAAGTCATAGTCCCTAGAGCCAGGGTTAGCTTTTACCCATCTCCTGTGCTCATACCACAGAGTCACGGATCTCAGAGCCTAGCCGCACCCGGGGCCGGGGGCATGGAGGAGACACCTCTACAAAGCTGTCCTGAATACTGAGCGGCCTCTTCTCTGATTCAGTGAAAGCTCGGAGACCTGGAGAGCTGTCAGCAAGGGCCTGGTAACCTTTGTGATCAGGCAGGGCACTAGGTGGGCCTCCTCCATTGAGGGATCGGTTTTCAGAAGGAAGCATCACTGGGCGGGTCCTGGGATGTACACTGGCACATTCTCCTTGTTTGAGGAAGACCTTCATGCCATCCCGGTGTCGATAAAGAAAGAAGAGCGCGAGAAGGACAACAGCAAATCCAAACAGGCCACACATCAGCAGGAACTCGGTCCAATAGGTTTTGTAAGGGACCAAAGCAGCCTTCCCGTTGGCAGATGAGCTCACTCGGGAGGTATTGATAATGAAGGGGACAATAGAACCCTTCTCACCATCTGCTGCGCTTTCAATAGCCTCCACACAGTAGCTGGCCACCAGCTGCTGATAGTTCTCCTCTAGCGACCAGCACTGGAAGGAACCCAGCCCATCCTGGCTGCCCACCAGAAGCAGGTCCCCACTGGGCAGCACACGGTAAGAGGCAGAGTTGTTTATGGGGGCCTTGTTATGTAGCCAGCGCCGGGATGCAAGGTTGGAGAGCAGTCTGCAGGTCAGGGTGTTGACAGTGTTGGGCAGGAAGTGAACTTGCTTGCACGGTATCTCATCTGCCAAAGAAACACACAACAGGTGTTCAAAGGCGCACCAAGTTCGTTAGGGCCTAAGGCAGCTTTTCCCCTGAGAAACTCTGGGGACTCCCTTTGTTAGAAAAAATCAGTCTGTCCACCCACCAGAGGGCCACTCTAGAGACCTTTCTGTTCCTCAACCTCCTTTGTGGGGGGGGCGGTAGCTAAGCACTGCCATTGTGTGTGAAAGGATAATCCCAGTATTCTGGGAATAAGCAGAAAGAGAGATGGGAGCAACAATACAAATCGTCCCCTGAAAAGGCAGGGGATATGAACCTTTCACAGGTCTCCCTGCAGCACATACGGCCTCAACTGCTTCCACCTATTCGCTCCTGAAGTAGTGGACCTTACCCGATAATGTAGAAGACCGGCGGCGGCTGAATGCAGAATTGTTGCAGAACTGCTCAGTGTTGGCATCTTCAATGTCCTGTACCCATGGCCTGAGGACAACAGCAAAGTCAATGACAAAGTTAGGAAATGGGCCCTCTGTTTGTCAGAGTCCAGGCAAATTAGAGGACTTCACCCTCTTTGACTTTGAGAGAAAACCCGCCCGACATTCCAGTGCTTGCAGATAAACAGAGGGCAGCTAGGTGGTGCAGTGGACAGAGCACCAGGTCTGGAGTCAGGAAAACCTGAATTCAAATCCAGCCTTAGACACTCACTAGCTGTATGATCCTGGGCAAGTCACTTAGCCCTTATTTGCCTCAATTTTTTTCATCTGTAAAATGGGGATAATAACAGCACCTACCTTCCAGGGTTGTTGTGAGGATCAAAGGAGATAATATTGTAAAGCACTTAGCACAGTGCCTGGCATAAAGTGAGCATTTTATTGCTATCACTGTTATTATTATTTTAGTGAAAGTCATTAGGGGGATTAATTTCACAGGGTGTTGCTTCCTACAGAGCAAAAGTAGGGGAAGAAGAGATAGGTGGAACATGGGCCAGCTTTCCAGGGTCCCCAGAGCACAGGGTTTGGGATACTGTACCATTTGTTCCCCTTTCACCCCGCCATCTTAAGCATGGTTTGAAGGAAGGCACTTCAACATAGAATTCAGGAGGGGGAGAATGGCTGCCGATAGCCCAGGGGCAAAGGAGGGAGAAGTAATTTGAGAAGTAGCGTAGAGTTCTTACTGTGAGGCCAGTTCTGGCTGGTAGTGCCTGACATCCCTGCAGCTGGTACCACTCCAAGCACAGTAGGGGTCTCGGGACAGGATGCATTCCCCACAACTTGGGTACAGGCTACAGTTAGCCACAGACACCTGCACCACAGCCGAGTAGGAGGAAGCATACAGTAGTCCCTGAACAAGATAAAAGGTGGTGAGAAGCTAGCGATGAGAGCCTTCTGGCCAAGGACCCAAGCATCCACAGCATCCACCTGGCTCTGGTTTGTAGGGTAAAAGGCTGGATCAGATTTGGGTGGGTTACCACACAGTAGAGCTGCCAACCTATAGGTTCCTTAGGTCCCTTTTCTGGACACACTTGGCTTCTATACAATCCAGATTTGGTACCAGACTTTAAATTCTCTATTCCAATTCAAGGAATGAAATAGAGAAAAATAGACTGGGTATATGGTGGCCCAGACAGGGTTGGGACAAAAGTGAGACCAATATTCCCCCTAATCCCAGAGCGGAATCCCCTGAGCCTCATCTCTCCTCCCTCCTCTTAACCATACTCTTGCTTACTCTGTGGGGATCCAACAGTAAGTTCTGTACGGGGTGGTCAGGTGGGAAGAGTCGGATCTCCTCGATAATATGCACCCTCTGCCTTGCGCTCACGGTTTTGTGCAGTCGGCCATCGCCTGCAAGATGAGAGAGGCTCAGCCTCCTCTTCCCAGGGAAAGATTCCCACCAGAAGCCCCCCTCCTCTGACGGCCCTCGGCAAGGCCCTTCCCTTAACCCCAGGGTCCAAGGAACTCACTTGTGCCCAGGAAGAGGACATCGTAAGTATGGTGCAGGCCATGGACTCGATGCACAGAGAGGCGCTGGTAACGGGCCCTGGTCTGCAGCAGCAGCGGGTTGCTACGGACCTGCCTGTCCATCAAAAAGTGATCTTTGAGGAAGTTAAGCACACGGTCAGGCAGCTGCAAAGAGGAATTTATCCTCTTTTCCCGGGCACTGTTAGTGATGCACTGGAAGAAAAACAGCAAAGAAGAAAAATTTAAGGAAAGAAAAAAATTTAAGGAAGATTAACACTCAAAAGCATTCCTATGTAGGGAAATTGTCATCCATCAGGGATGG